CATCAGCGGCTGGGAATACAGTTAACGTGCATGAGGCAGGGAATACAGTTAACGTGTATCAGCAGCAGGGAATACAGTTTACGTGCACCAGGCAGGGAATACATTTAACGTGCATCAGGCAGGGAATACAGTTAACGTGCATCAAGCAGGGAATACAGTTAACCTGCATCAGGTAGGGAATACAGTTAACGTGCGTCAGCGGCTGGGAATACAGTTAACGTGCATCGGCGGCAGGGAATACAGTTAACGTGCACCAGGCAAGGAATACAGTTAACGTGCGTCAGGCAGGGAATACAGTTAACGTGCATCAGGCAGGGACTACAGTTAACGTGCATCAGCGGCTGGGAATACAATTTACATGCATCAGGCAGGGAATACAGTAAACATGCATCAGCGGCTGGGAATACAGTTAACGTGCATCAGCGGCTGGGAATACAGTTAACGTGCATCAGGCAGGGAATACAGTTAGCGTGCATCAACGGCTTGGAATACAGTTAACGTGCATCAGCGGCTAGGAATACAGTTAGCGTGCATCAGGCAGGGAATACAGTTAGCGTGCATCAGCGGCTGGGAATACAGTTTACATGCATCAACGGCTGGGAATACAGTTAACATGCATCAGTGGCAGGGAATACAGTTAACATGCATCAGCGGCTTGGACTACAGTTAACGTGCATCAGCGGCAAGGAATACAGTTAGCGTGCATCAGGCAGGGAATACAGTTAGCGTGCATCAGGCAGGGAATACAGTTAACGTGCATCAGCGGCTGGGAATACAGTTAACGTGCATCAGCGGCTGGGAATACAGTTAACGTGCATCAACGGCTGGGAATACAGGTAACGTGCATCAGGCAGGGAATACAGTTAACGTGCATCAGCGCCTGGGAATACAGGTAACGTGCATCAGCGACTTGGACTACAGTTAACGTGCATAAGCGGCAAGGAATACAGTTAGCGTGCATCAGGCAGGGAATACAGTTAGCGTGCATCAGCGGCTGGGAATACAGTTAACGTGCATCAACGGCTGGGAATACAGTTAACATGCATCAGTGGCAGGGAATACAGTTAACATGCATCAGCGGCTTGGACTACAGTTAACGTGCATCAGGCAAGGAATACAGTAAGCGTGCATCAGCGGCAGGGAATACAGTTAGCGTGCATCAGGCAGGGAATACAGTTAACGTGCATCAGCGGCTGGGAATACAGTTAACGTGCATCAGCGGCTGGGAATACAGTTAACGTGCATCAACGGCTGGGAATACAGGTAACGTGCATCAGGCAGGGAATACAGTTAACGTGCATCAGCGGCTGGGAATACAGGTAACGTGCATCAGCGGCTTGGACTACAGTTAACGTGCATCAGCGGCAAGGAATACAGTTAGCGTGCATCAGGCAGGGAATACAGTTAACGTGCATCAGCGGCTGGGAATACAGTTAACGTGCACCAGGCAGGGAATGCAGTTAACGTGCATCAGGCAGGGAATACAGTTAGCGTGCATCAGGCAGGGAATACAGTTAACGTGCATCAGCGGCTGGGAATACAGTTAACGTGCATCAGCGGCTGGGAATACAGTTAACGTGCATCAGCGGCAGGGAATACAGTTAGCGTGCATCAGCGGCAGGGAATACAGTTAGCGTGCACCAGGCAGGGAATACAGTTAACCTGCATCAGCGGCTGGGAATACAGTTAACCTGCATCAGGCAGGGAATACAGTTAACGTGCATCAACGGCAGGGAATACAGTTAGCGTGCATCAGGCAGGGAATACAGTTAACGTGCATCAGCGGCTGGGAATACAGTTAACGTGCATCAGCGGCTGGGAATACAGTTTACGTGCATCAGCGGCAGGGAATACAGTTAGCGTGCATCAGCGGCAGGGAATACAGTAAGCGTGCATCAGCGGCAGGGAATACAGTTAGCGTGCATCAGGCAGGGAATACAGTTAACGTGCATCAGCGGCTGGGAATACAGTTAACGTGCATCAGCGGCTGGGAATACAGTTAACGTGCATCAACGGCTGGGAATACAGGTAACGTGCATCAGGCAGGGAATACAGTTAACGTGCATCAGCGGCTGGGAATACAGTTGACGTGCATCAACGGCTGGGAATACAGTTAACCTGCATCAGCGGCTGGGAATACAGTTAACGTGCATCAGGCAGGGAATACAGTTAACGTGCATCAACGGCTGGGAATACAGGTAACGTGCATCAGGCAGGGAATACAGTTAACGCATTATCAATACAGAGTACCAAGAATCAGTTTTATTTGTCAAATATATTTCCCACAAAAGAAAGATTTGTCAAAAACTAAAAGTAGAGATGTAGTTTTGAGAAAGTAGGGATGGATGTTAAGTTTGGAGAACATACTCGTTACTATTGATTGGTGAAATAGAAACTCAGCGACTCTTATTCCCCGAACCGAACTTTACTCTTATGTTCTACTTTACATGAAATTCAGATAAGTTTGTATAAAGTTTACGTCTGAAGAATATATTATGTCTCAATTTATAACCGTCATAAACATATGGCAATTTATACAAGTAACACAATCCAATAGAACCTAACACTGACTATACATATTAAAGCACTGGCACTCTAAGTCCGATTAATCAGCTACACCGGTTTCCCAAAGAGCCTGCAAAATGTCAACTGCAGAAAAGTGAGAAACTGATGTCCTTACAACTAATCAGTAAAGATCAACCGCGTCTTAACCAAGCTTAAGTCTGTTCCGACCCAATGTCCATTGTCATTCGTTCCCACAGGTATGTTTGTTTCATTGATTTTCCACTGTACACCAACAGCTTTCTGCTGCCAATTTATTTATGCTATTGGCCATACTTTGCACATAAGTGTTTTGAAAGCAAACTCTTTTCTATCATGTAGTATTTCCTGCATGTGATTTCAAGGGTCACTAAGCCCGGGCATATTGGCTAACATGATTCACCTTTCTACGTATATATTTAAGACCTATATCAATACATCTACCCATAAAAACAATGTCACGCAAGGCACTAATTACAATATATCAGCCCCTAATGTAAAACGTCAACATCCATTGGAGCACAGTCGCCCTTTTTTTATTTAGCAGAAAATACACTCCTGTCTTTATTGGGTATATGGAAATATATTCTCCAAAACGATACACGGGTTCTTTGAATTCAACATAAATAGCATAAAAGAATTTGGTTAAATTGAAGGTGGTGATTTTAAAATTACTGAAACCTGAAATTAGCCATCATGAACAGTGAGCTTGTCATGTGTTAGTTATCGTCTTGGTATATGGTAAACAAATGTTCAAAGTCAAATGAACTTAATACTGAGAGTGTCAACCTTTGATATCAGTGACATGCAAACCTATGTTACCAATGTGTGAACAATTACAAGATGGTAGACTTGCAGCATTCAGGTTCAACATTCAGGATGACGTTGACGAACACGAACAACTTCTTCCCACAGATGTTAATGGCAACAAAAGTGTGTGAATTGGGTTTTAGCTATATTCCAGCACTATAATAACCAATGTAATAGTACATGTCTTACTGTATGTGAGAATGGCTGAAGTACAATGGGCTCTTAGTAGCCGGCATTATCACGCTGGAAGTCGACGGAATGAGTGAGGTAAATTGGTATAACGCTGTTTTGAACAGTATTATTTATTCCCCAGCTTGATGTGATAGGAAAACCAGGAGAGATGCAGGTCTCAGACGTTTACCACTTTGGTGAACTGGTATGGCGCTGTTATAAAAAAAAACAGCATCAGGCTGATCTCGTTGTAGTAGCATTAAACTTGGTTGTCATCAACATGAACATGATAAGGCTGCCAACGTCATCACACGTCCTCCACATGTCTAGACCCGTGACGATCCGGGATAGAATAGGTCTTCAGCAACCCGTGCTTGCCGTAAAAGGTGACTATGCTTGTAAGAGGCGATCGATGCTCATGATGTCAATCACTGTATTGTCTGGTCCAGACTCATATATTTACAGACCGCCGTCATATAGCTGGAATATTGCTAATAGCGGCGTTAACCACCAAGCAAACAAACAAACAAGAATCCACATGTCGACCAAGCGCACAGTTATAGCTGTACGCCCTTGTTGCTCCCTCTGTAGGGAGAAGCCAGATTCAGAGTTCATCCATCAATAAATTAAAGTGACAAAACCCTTTGCATATTCAAAACACGCCTATGCCAAAAGCAGAGTCGATTGTACGATTCCGACCATATCACTAGCATGTGTTTATGAATCACTATCAAATAGTGATGATACCAGGTGTTCGCGAAAAGATAAGCGTATCCTGCCTAAATTGTGTAAGGTGGCCTGTTCGGACAATGTTGAGTTCCAAACACACACACACACACACACACACACACACACACACACACACACACACACACACACACACACACACCATCCCCTTTTTTGGTGGTCTGGACCAGACGATCCAATAATTGACATCATGAGCATCGATCCACGTAATTGTGAAACGGAGACATGCATCAACCAAGTCAGCGAGCCTAGTTCAACATGGGACGAACACGCTCCCATAGAATTGTCAGTGTCATACAATCTAGTCAAGACATATTTGTTTTAAAACGCTTATCTATGCGTTACCTCTTTGAAGAGTATATTATAGGCATATATGAACTGTTTCATTAACCGTTGTCAATAACTGCCACTTTTTCAAGTTTTATTAACACAAATAATGATATTCCATTTTACAAGACGCCACTATAAACATGCTTCCGTTTAAGAGATACCAAAAGATAATTCTACCAAAAGCGTTGGACGCCTTTGTGAAATATGGTGAAATATATCCTCCAACCCCATCCCCTCCCCCGGCCGCCATATACATGTATGTCTTCACCCGGCCATCTTTCTAAAGGTATAGCATTGAATTACAATATTACTTTTCACACATTCGTCAAAGCTCCTTCACCAAATGTGTTACCGTTGCAAAACAGAATTTAAATATTGTAATATCAAACAAATGTACATACCTTTAAGTCAGATTCCCCTTTGCAATGTATAGATCCCCTCACAACACGACAACTCGAACAGGCTCCACTTAATATTAAAAGAACAGTCTAACACCATGTCACTTGACACTTTCTGTGTTCCTTGGTAACACGGAGCCACACCATAGTCAACTGATAGACTCGCCAGTCGTGGGAAGCTCTCGCCAACTCACGAGCGCGTCATTTCCTCTATGGAACTCTTCTCTCTAAGAGAGGAAAATGTATGACATCCGGCCATTGCGACTTGCTGTGACCAAATCAAGTCCTTCGATTTGGTCATGCGCAACTATTGTCTCACAAAAGCTCTTTCAAAGAGGAAAGAAAAGGCGTATTTACCGCAATGCACATAATCACAAATGACACTGATATTGACTTAAAAAGACGTTTCTAGGTTGACGAGTTTTGAACAAAAATCGTTGGAAATTAAATTTTGGATTTATTTCAATTTCAAGATGACAAAGTGAAGCGTGTGTACACGCCACGAGTCAGAGTTGGTTTGTTTGTTTGTTGTTTAACGCCGCACTGAGCAATATTCCAGCTATATGACGACGGTCTGTAAATAATCGAGTCTGGACCAGACAATCCAGTGATTGACATCATGAGTATCGATCCACGCATATGGGATCGATGACATACATCAACAAAGTAAGCGAGTCTGACCACCCGATCCCGTTAGTCGCCTCTTACGACAAGCATAGTCGCCTTTTATGGCAAGCATGGGTTGCTGAAGACCTATTCTACCCCGGATCTTGTGTACACTGATAGCTGTATGTATTGATAACATCTTTTACTTAATGTGCCTCGGTACAGATTCCTAAAAGCAAAGTTTTCTCGCGAACACGTGAGATAAAATAAATCAATTTACAGTAAACTACGGTTATAACGAACTCAAAGGGACCACTAATCTTAGTCCGTAATAACCGTAGTTCGTTATAGGCATATAAACAGCATTTATACAACAAATGGTCGGGACTAAAAAATAAGTTCGTTATATCCGTCAGTTCGTTATAAGCGTGTTCGTTATAAACGTACTTTACTGTATATATTAATCAGTGTATGCTGCTGCCCACGGTTATAACCATGCAAACTCTTAGATCAGACATCACTATCTTTCTCTTCTAAATCAACAGATTGTCATTTTATAACGAAGATATTTTATGTTTAATTCGGACTTACGTTGTTTTTTTATACAGAGCAAATTTGGACAAGTTATACGGGAAATCCCGAGGGTAAATGTTACAGAGATCTGACATTCAGTTTCAGAATTGTCGACCCTGTCAGTTAGGTTTCATTAAGATGTGTTTGCTAAAATGAAGCCAAACTGATGGTGGCATGAATCACGATAACGTCAAAAGATGTTTGTGACATCTATCTTCATTTACAGTAGTGCAAGTGTTATTCGATCAGCGTCATCAAGATACGTCATTCGACAAGTGTTGGCATTAAGACAAACCATAGGTCAAAATTGCTGGAACTTGATATCATGACTACGAATTATGAAGAGCAGTACTGTAAGATATAGTTCCTTGTCACTTAAACTTGGTGATCATATATATATTTCAATCTTTTTCTTCATAGGTTCAAGATAACTTGTCAAACATGAAAGCAAATATCATCTGAAGTTTACTGAGAAAACATTATGGGAAGTGTTGGACCTCCTTACTGATAACATATTCGCGCGGTATGGTCGATATATAGGTACGTTTCGGCAAGAAGTAAGCATTCCCATGGACACGAAATATGCTCCCTGCTGATCTGTTTCTTTCTGCACACGAGTAGGATCTGTTCTCGCACTGGCAAAACCCAAACAAGAGAATTTGACCCAAAAGTGTAACTTTAGCTTTTATATCGAGGTATTGACATCGTTAAATAAAGATCAAATAGCCAAATCCATTCCTCTGATTTACCCAATTGAGCTAGAAATAAAAAAGACAAGTAAACCTCCTCATCTGTTTCATATTTAGATCTATGTATAAAGGTTCAAGTGGCAAACAACTATATACAAGACTGTATGACAATAGGGATGACAATAGGGATAGTCAACTTTCCCTTTATGTCGAGCAATATGACAGCAATTCCAGCCTTCGGTGTCTACTTTTCACAACAAACTACAAATCTGACGTGTGTGACAAAAATGATATCTGTCGCAATTCCCACCCCCGTGGGTTTTTTTGGCTTATTTTTCAGGTAAACAGTTGACATGCCTTTGCATGTATTTGTGACGGGTGTCATCGGTAGGGCTGGATACGTTCACCTGTTTGCCAAACCATCTCTAGTTGACAGTGATTAGTAAACATGTGTTTATGATGTAGATGTCTTATGATTATGGAATGGACTTTGTCGCTTGTACTTATTATTATTTATTTATTATTTAGTTAATTGAGGAAGTATAATCCGATCAATAGTGAGAAAGTAAATGGTGTCATAAGCCCCAGCCATCAAAATTCAATCTAAATAGACGCGAAAAAAACATGTTCATAATCATAAAAAAATATCTACCGAAAGCAGAGTCGTAAGCAAGTGTTCTTGAATCACCATTAAATAGCGATGATTATCTTTATCACGGCGGTCTACTCCCGTGTCCCGCCTATGCTTATTGGATCGGCAAGATGATAATCACTTTAAACAGAAATATCAAGAGTAGATGATTATCACTTCAAATAGAAATATCAAGACTAGGTGATTATCACTATTAACAGAAATATCAAGACAAGATGATTATCACTACAAATAGAAATATCAAGAAGAGATGATAATCACTATAAACAGAAATATCAAGACAAGATGATTATTACTACAAATAGAAATATCAAGACAAGATGATAATCACTATAAACATAAAATATCAAGACTAGATGATTATCACTTCAAATAGAAATATCAAGACTAGATGATTATCACTATAAACAGAAATATCAAGACTAGATGATTATCACTTCAAATAGAAATATCAAGACTAGGTGATTATCACTATAAACAGAAATATCAAGACTAGATGATTATCACTACAAATAGAAATATCAAGACAAGATGATAATCACTATAAACAGAAATATCAAGACTAGATGATTATCACTTCAAATAGAAATATCAAGACTAGATGATTATCACTATAAACAGAAATATCAAGACTAGGGGATGATCACTGTTAATAGAAATATCCAGACAAGATGATCACACTGCAAACAGAAATACCCAGAGTAGATGATTATCACTGCAAATAGAAATATCCAGACAAGATGATCACACTGCAAATAGAAATATCCAGAGTAGATGATTATCACTGCAAATATAAATATCAAGACAAGATGATAATCACTATAAACAGAAATATCAAGACAAAATGATAATCACTATAAACAGAAATATCAAGACAAGATGATTATCACTACAACTAGAAATATATAGACAAGATGATAATCACTATAAACAGAAATATCAAGACTAGATGATTATCACTTCAAATAGAAATATCAAGACTAGATGATTATCACTATAAACAGAAATATCAAGACTAGGGGATGATCACTGTTAATAGAAATATCCAGACAAGATGATCACACTGCAAATAGAAATACCCAGAGTAGATGATTATCATTGCAAATAGAAATATCCAGACAAGATGATCACTCTGCAAATAGAAATACCCAGAGTAGATGATTATCACTGCAAATAGAAATATCAAGACAAGATGATCAAACTGCAAATAGAAAGACCCAGAGTAGATGATTATCATTGCAAATAGAAATACCCAGAGTAGATGATTATCACTGCAAATAGAAATATCCAGACAAGATTATTATCCCTGGAAATAGAAATAGATGTATTACCTTAAGGTTAGTCCATCAAACAATTCTAAAGAGAACTTTGTTTGACATGAAGGAACATTTGAATTGGAGAGTACCTCTTCTACAGAAACACCTGTACAGGGATATAACTGACATATGTACCTACCGAAATGAAACATGCATGTACATTTTCAGCATGCAAAAAAATACGAATCTTCTGGAAACAAAATACAATAACTTTAATAGCGATAAACAATCTAACAAAACACGAAGTGAACAAAATGTTCACTGCCTAAGAGCCCGACCATTTGATATTCTGGGGGTGGGGCGGGGTTGTTGTTTGTTTTTGTTAGTTTTGTTGTTGTTGTTGTTGTTGTTTTGGTTGTTGTTGTTGTTTTGGTTGTTGTTTTTGGGGGGACTGGTCTTTTATATCGATTATAGATAAAAAAAATTCAGATTGAGTGCAAAACCAATTTGTTTGTTTTTTTAAAAACACGAACCTGAACGTTTTTTTCTGAAAACACATTGCAACAATGTAATTTTAGTGGCAGGCATTTTTTCCTAGGTATAAAGCCTAATTATTATTTTTAAGGAATTTCGGAGACAAAACTCTTTTTCGATCAAATCCCCCGATCACTTGTGGTTCACTTATGGTTTGACGACCTGCAGTGGTTGATGTGTGGGTGGGGAGGTGTACATGCAGATACAGGGACACGGTCGTTCAGTTCAAGGATGTGTTCTCCTTTCGCCTACACCATTGACATTAAACTGGTAATAGAACATCCTTGAGCATACACCATTATCTTATCACAAACGTTGTTGGGATGTATACACGGATATGCCACTGTCATCTGGGGAAACGCCTAGGTCGAAACGCCATTTATTAAGATTATGTTATTATTATTATATCCTACAAAACCTTGTCGGGCAATATCTGTAACATTGTGTCCGCAAAAGGAATTATCACGTGATCTCTGACGTCAGAGTTTCAATCTAAAGTGTTTTTTACAGCCTTATAATGATTCTATTTGTTATTCACACCTAAATGTGTTTGTCAAAAGCAGCTGATGTTTTATCGTAGAGAATCGACTTTTAAATTGCTATACACTACCAAGATGATGCGATAACTATTTTGTGTTGCATTTTCAATCTACTTTAACGTTATGTCTTTCAAACTGTCAAAACAATAAATACATGGAAACATTTCTTGTTGTTTAAAAGTTTTGAGTAATTTGAAGTGTACATCTATATTATCGCAAGACTGTGGAATGTGAAACCTCAAATTTAGTTCGAGGCAACAAGAAATTCGAACCAAGTCATTCAACCAAGCAGGTAGAGTACAACAAATAGCAAAGAAAGAAGAAACGATAGACATCTGGTCCTAACATTTATAGTA